CTGTGCTGCTCCCGGAGCCCCCGGCACGCAGGTAACTGGAGCCCGCGGGAGGGTGCTGAGGTCGGCGGCCGCCCTGCTGCCCAGCCTCCTGCAGGCGAGAGGTCCCTCGTCACAGTCAGAGCAGAGCGAAGAGGCGACTGCTACGCTGACACTTGGGGCCAAGCAGCTTGTAACCAGATTCTTGTTTGGGGTGCAGGCTGGCGGCTCGCCCGCCCCACCACGCTCCTTTTTAGTGGAGTTTTTCTCCGCGGTGGGCAGAATTGCCCTGGAATCTGAGGACGGCATTTTGCATGGAGTGGAAAGAAAAGAAAAAAAAAGAAAGAAAGGAAATCCTAGTGGGTGGCGGTGTGGAAAGTGAGTGGCCTCAGATGTGGCTCAGGGTGGAGAGCCTTCCCCGGGTTCCTGACACAGTTTCTGGGTTTGCTGAGGGGAGAACCGCGGAGCTGTGAGACCCAGGTGGGCTTCCATGTCCCCGAGGGGCCCAGCCAGGCACGGGTGCACGCAGGTGCTCAAGTGAGAATGGTTGCGGCTCCCCTGGTGCATCCGAGCTGGGGGGCGGGGAACGCGGCAAGAAGGGGCAGGACAGATTCTGCCCGGTGGCGCCAGGTTCATTCAGCACCACTGGGTCAACCCGGGTGAGCGCAGGCGTCCAGGTTTGCCCTGACTGCGGGAGGCTCAGGCACCTTGGCCATCTGGATCCCCGAAGGGATCTTGGGAGGACTTGATGCTTATTTTCCATCTCTGGCTCGCCTTAGGTACCCTACCCTGGTTTAAGCAGCACCCAGAGGCTTCCGAGAGAGCTGATAACTGTTTTAAAACGTGGCTGTCAGAAGCAAGCATTGCCTTATTCTTAGGATGCCAAATCGATCCAGCACAAACGATAGCGGAAGTGTAGGCTGCATTTACACTAAACATATTGTATTGTATATTGCTTAATACATTTTTGGGGACCAATTTGCTGGGCCAATGTTTGGGTGTATTTTTTTTAAATCTTGAATTACAGTGTATAGTTTAGTTTGAGGATGGATTTTCACTCTCCACCCCTAACTTCTAGCAGAGTAGCATACTCTTAGAAATTGTTCAGACTAGTACAGGCAGATGACCAAGGGACTGAGAGAAGATTATAGAATGGAAAGGCAGACCATTCAATACATGATTATAGTCTCTTTTAAATAATAATTAAATATAGGTTTAGCACCCATATAATTACCAGAAATAAGTCCTCCCCACAAGATTCTTGAAAGTAGAAACTAGTTAATAAATTTGCTTAACCAGAAATTTCACAACATGTCATACTGTTAGCACCACCTACATCCAAAGATTTCCCCCTGGTTGGTTCTGTCTGTTGTCTGTAGGTGAGTGGGACCAGGGTCCCTTCGTGTCTGTTGGATGAGTATTGATCAGGACCATAAGAAAGGTTTGTTGGCTTCTGACACTGACTCTGAAAAGCTGATGGCGATGAAGATAGTGTGAATGTGTCTGAATCCTTTATCAGGACAGATTGTAGTGCTTCGGGGGTGGATCTGGCCATGAAACTAGAGCTGAATGATAACAATTATACAGATGTTGTCAGATCTTCAGATTTGACTCCCACATCCCATTTTTTGGACTTGTATTTTGTGTAGTCTTTTTCTACAGTAAGGTATCTCTTGACCTTCCTTCATAGAATGGAGTTGCATTCAGAAAACCTGTAGGAAAATGAACTGAAACAATGTCTTTCTTGAGAAACTATAGCCTTCCAGGAAAAGAATCACTTAATGACTTCAGTTTTAACTAAAGATTACAAAAACACATACATTTTGAGATAGCTCATGTTTTCTTTGGGAGGTTCTCTGTGGACACATTATTCTCTGTGGATAAGGAATTGAACTGCAAACGTTATATTCATAATCCCACCTACTCAAAAGGCTGAGGCAAGGAAAGCACAAGTTTGAGGCCATCCTGAGCAACTTAAAGACTCTGTCTCAAAATAAAAATGAAAGGGGGCTGGAGATGTAGTTCAGTAGCAAAGTAGCCAGCCCTAGGTATGGTTCCAGTACAAAATAAAAAAAAGGAAAGAGGGATAAGTGGAGGGGAGCAGAGTGACTCTTAGAGGTAGAGGCACAAGGAACAAAATAAAAAAAAAGGAAAGAGGGATAAGTGGAGGGGAGCAGAGTGACTCTTAGAGGTAGAGGCACAAGGATTGCAGATTTTAGCCCAGACTGTGCATCTTAGTAGCTTTAAATGATCCTGTCTCAAAATAAAAATAAAAAATGGACTGGGAATTTCGGTCAGTGCAAAGACCTTGGATTCAGTCCCCAGTACTTCAAAAACAAAATAAAAAACATTGTGTTCAAGGAAAGAAGGCATGGTCGTTTCCTTCCAAGTGTTTAGTCTGTTGGGAAAGATGGGCATGCTTCCAAATATCTGTGATACCAGACAGTTTAACTGGAATCGTAGGAAAGTGGTGTGCTGCTGAGGGACAAAGATGAAGGAAGGTTTGTTCAAGCTTCAGAATTGAGAAGAGTGTTTCGGTGGGTGCAACATTTCAGCTGGGACTTAAAAAGGGAAGGAAGTTTCCCGAAGGAAAGGACGCCTGCTAGAGCAAGGGACTAGCACAGAGGTATGATGTCTGGTGTGGTCAAAGGAAGGAGACCGTGTGGAGTTGTGGCTGGAATCTGGAATTTAAAACAAGTCTGGGAGGTGGGATGGGGCTAGAGTAGGGAGTATGTGACAAATCGCAGTAAGAAATTAAAATTGGATTGAACATTATTATATTTGGATCAGCAGTCTCAGTATCTTTAACTATACTTTTTTTCCCATTGAGTTCAGCTTTTTAAGTTTTCCCCTAAAATAAGTGATAATATTTTAATGATGTTTGGTTCCCATCAATATTACTGTAAGACTAAAATATTCTAAATAATCACCAGTGCTTTCTTCAAGTTCTATGTTGTTTTTGCTCTGTATCTGTAATCTTGTGGTATAACAACTTTTGGCTTGATTCAGACTTTAGATAGGAAAATAGTTCCACTTTCTGGGCCAGGAAAGAGTAAAGCCACTTTCTTCTATTTTGTTTCAGTTGTTAATAATAAGAGTAACTGTTAATGTTTATTAAGCATGCTATATCAAGGGAGTCACGTACATTATGTTATCTGGTGAGGCATTATTTCAATTTTTAGATTGAGTGTTTTGATAAGAACACTCGATTAGGTAAATGGTTAGACCAGGGTTTAGGCCCAAGCAGGCTACCTTTGGAGCCTGTGCTTTGAATTATTGTGCTATCACATGATTAGGGGATTATATATGGTAACATATTAATAGTAGAAACTGGGCCTTGCACCTGTAGGAGGAGTATTCTGTTTTTTCCTTTATGTCCTCATGATTCTGATTAATTTCACACTACATGTTCAATGATAGGGCATATTTCCAGGTCTTCATATTCCTTAAAACAATTACATGGTCTTATACTTTAATAACCCACTCAAAATAAACTCAAGCTCTTTGAGAAAAGTCAGGATAGGGGCTATGAAAAACATTAGCAAATATGATAGCTGTATGTATGAAGACCAGACCAGCCAGAGCCTGTGGAAGAAGATTAATTTCCAATATGCTCATTATTCCCAATAAGCCTAACTGCACCAGGTATTTTTGTATTTTGGCAATTCATATACATCTCCATGTGTTTTGATGTTTTTATATTCTGAAGATGATACAGCAAACATACGAGTTTGTATATGGTGTAATGAAGTGTGCTTTCCTGTGACAGATTGGATTTTAGGTAATCAGATATTAACGGTGTGAAATGTATGCTGAGCAGAAGAACACTTCAGTGTCCCTAGCATCATTGTAGATGATTATCACTGCTTATCACTACACTGGCTTCTGCGGTCAACCTTTGAGGAAGGGTGGGAGCGGAGAAAAGCTGTAGTAAGAGTCAGGCAGTACAGCAAGCATGGCAAGATTTATTTGTATGTTTGGCTCTCATTTTGCCCATGTTTAGTGCTAAACTCTCTAGACCTTACCACGTGTTCTCAGACACTGAGGAGTTTACATGTCCTACTGTTTTCTCATCTGATCTTGTGGGCAGGAATTAGAAAAACATGGCCGTCCATGGAATGAGTAAGGAATCTTTTTTTCAATTTTATTCATTGTGGAGTTACTGTTAATTATTTTTATCAAAATAAAAATTTATTTGAAAATGCAGATGAATATTTATGGGCTAAAGGAAAATAGACTGAAAATTTTGCTACTTCTGCCTACACACAACCATAATTAATATTTTTATGTTTCCCTTTAAAAATGTTTAAGTTTATTAGTACTCGTTTGCAGTGCATAATGATTACATTCATTGTGGGGAATTGGTACACGTACATGCACATCTTATTCTTTTTTCCTCTTTCCCATTCACACTTCCACTTTAATGATCACATTCACTGTAGGGAATTGATGGAACAAGTACATAAAATACTTCACTTCTTTTTTCCCTCTTCCTCTTTCCTCCTTTTTTTTTTTTTTTTTTTTTTGCCAGCATCAGCCTCATTTATTTATCTTGTAAGATCTCATCCTTATCAAGTTAATTATCATGCATACAAAATAATAGCCAGACTAACAGGCCAAAAACATATAAAACTATGAAAGTTCTACTAAATCAGTGTATACTTTTAGCTATATTGTCCATGGTGAAGTCCAAAACTTTTTTTCCTATTGTGTGGTTTTTATTTTGTACTTCCTGTATATATTGGATTTCTCAAGTAAGAGAAACTATGGGTATTTAAGCTTGTGTGTCTGATTTACTTCACTTAACTTTATGGTCTCGAGGTGCATTCATTTTCCTACAAAAACTTGAGTTTATCCTTCTTTATGGCAAAATAACACTCCACTGTGTATAAATGGCAGTTTTTTTGTAACATGGATCGAACTCAGGACCTTGTGCTTGTGAGCGCAGGTGCGACATCACTGAGCTAAATCCCTAGCAGTACCACATTTTCTTTATCCACCCATCTACTGATGGACATACTGACTGCTCCCAAGATTTGGCTGTTATGAATTATGCTTGTATTAGCATAAGTATGCACACATTACTGTGGTGTGATGCCTTCAACTAATCCACTCATCTACTGATGGGCATACTGACTGCTCCCAAGATTTGGCTGTTATGAATTATGCTTGTATTAGCATAAGTATGCACACATTACTGTGGTGTGATGCCTTCAACTCTTTTGGGAAGATACCTAGAAGGAAATAATTAGGTCAAGAGGAATTTCTATTTTTAGTGTTTTAAGGACTTTTGATACTGATTTCCATAGTAGCTGTACAAGTTTACATTCCAGTCAGCAATGACAAACAGTTCCTTTTCCCCCTATAACCTTACCAACATTGTGATTGCTTGATTTCTTAATGGTATCCATTTCTTTTCTGGAGTGAGATGGAATTTCAGTGTTGTTTTAAGCAATGCTGAGCATTTTTTCATGGATTTATTGACCATTAATACTTCTTCATCTGCGAAGTATCTATTCATTTCAGATGTCCATTTTTTGATTTGGTCTTTAAATTGGGGAGTGTCTAATATTTTTTAGTTCTTTATACATTCTAAATATTAGTCCTTCATCTGAAGAGTAGCTGGGAAAATTGTTTTTCCATTCTGTAGGTTCTCTTTTCCCTCCGTTGATGTTTTCAGAAGATTTTTGCTGTTCAGAAGATTTTTAATTTGATGCAATCCCATTTGTTGATGCTGGATACTATTTCTTGTGCATCTGGGATCCTGTCCAGAAACTTTGCCTACACCTATGTCTTCAAGAGTTTTATCTATTTTTGCCTTCCAGCAGGCTGTTTCTTTTTAATATTTAGATCTTTGGTCTATTTTGATTTTTGTTTAGTGTATGGTGAGAGATAAGGGTTTAGATTCGGGTTTCTGCATGTTGTAATTTTGCTGTTTTCATTTGTTTGCATGGATTTGGATCTTTCCTTACTATAATAAGATTGGCTAAGAGTTTGTCTATTTTGTTTATTTTTTTGAAGAACCACCTGTTCAATTCATTGATTTTTGTATTGTTATTTTAGTCTCAATTTTATTAATTTCTGCTCTGATCTTCATAATTTCCTTCCTTATACTAGCTTTAAATTTGGATTGTCCTTGTGTTTCTGGGACCTTGAGGTGCATCATTAGATTATTTATTTGAGCTCACTTTGTTTTTCTGATGTGGTGATTCACTACTATTAACTTCCCTCTTAGGCCTGCTTTCATTGTGTCACGTATGTTTTGATGTTATGTCCTAATTAATGTTTAGATGTACAAGTTGTCTAATTTCTTCTTTAATTTCACCTGTGACTCATTGACTATCCAAGAAGGTGTTGTCTAATTTCCATGCATAGTTTGGGTACTGTCTTTTGTCATTGATTTTAAATTTCATTGCACTATGATCTGATACTATGAATGGGATAATTTCTATTTTTTTGCATTTACTAAAGCATGCTTTATGGGTCTTTATGGTATGTGGTCTGTTTTGGAGAAAGTGCCAGGTGTTGCTGAGAAGGATGTGTATTCTAATCGTTGGGTGGAACACTCTGTAGATGTACGTTAAGTTCATTTGTTTCAAGGTTTGGTTCAATTCTGCTATTTTCTTTGTTGATTTTTTGCCCAGTTGCTCTGTCTGTCATAGTGGTGTATTGAGGTTGCCCATTACAATTGTATTGGTGTTTGCCTGATTTTTTATGTCCATTAATGTTTGTTTTCTGAGGTTGGGTGCGCAGTCTTTGGTGTGTATATGTTTATAATTGTTATCTCTTTCTATTGAATTTTTTCCCTTAATATATAGTGACTTTCTTTGTCTCTTTTGATCTGTCATGGCTTGAAATTGCCTTTGAAATTAGAATAACTACTCCTGCTTGTTCCTGGGTTCCTGACTCATAGAATATTGTTATCCTTTGATTTTTAATCTCTGAGTTTAAAAAAAATTAAATGTGTTTCTTGTATATGGCATATTATTTGGTTTCGTTTCTTGATTCATTCTGCCAGTCTGTGCCTTTCAATTGGGGAATTGAGATGATTCACATTGAGAATTATTACTGAGAGGTACTGACTTGTTCCTGTCATTGCATCCTTTCCCTGTTGCTGATTTCCTTATTTTCCTTTTTCTTAGCTGCTCATCACACCAGATGTATTCGTTCTTCCTGGCTTATTGGGATTGTTGTCTTCATTGTCTTTTTGTGTGCTGTCTTTGAGAATTTTTTGTAATGCTGGTTTGGTGATCATCAGTTTCTTTCCTTGTCATGGAAATAGTTTCCTTCCTCCATCATTTTTGAAGGAAAGTTTTGCAGTTTACACAGGTCGGGTTTGAAATATGTTATTTTTTAAAGAACTTGAAATACTTCACTCCAAGCCCTCTACCTTTACAATTTGCATAGAGAATTCTGCTATCATTCTAATGGGGTTTCCTTTATATGTGACTTGTTGCCTTTCTCCAGCAGCTTTAAACATTTTTTTTACCCCAGTGATGGACTTCTGAATATAATGTGTCACAGAGAAGTTCTCTTTTGGGCCTAGCTATATGGTTTCTCTGTGCTTCACTTATGTGTACGCTATGTGTATACACTAGGTGTATATTGATTTTCCCCCATATTTGG